CCACCTCCTCCTCCAAGCCCTCCCCCGCCAAGCCTAGGCGCTCCTCGCCGAGGTCAACAACGGCCGCCTCGCGATGATCGGCCTCTTCGGACTCCTCTCCGCCTCGAAGGGCCTCATCGTCCCGGGGCTCGACGGCCTCGGCCTCACGCAGTGCGCACATGCCGACCCGCCGCCGCCGCCCACGCATCCCACCTGCCCTACCCGCGGCCACTCTCCCGCCCGCACGCGCGAGGGCGGCGCACAACCATGGCACAAATCGGCGAGGCACAGCACCCCGCCGCCGCCTCGCACAGGTACGGCGGCGAGTACATGGCCCCCTTCTCCGACTTCGACGCGGCGCTGCCCTACGTCGCGGAGATGCCAAAGACGCTCGCGGAGCTCCTCAAGTGAGTTGGCGCAGCGTGTCGACACGCCGCGCGGCGACAGGTCTGAGAGAGGGAAGGTGGGTGGGCCGCAGCCGGCGCCGGCGCTCGTGGGTGGTGTGGTGACGGTTGGGCGTCGTCAAATGTGTCGCGGCGTTGTCGGTGGTGCGCGCGCACGCGCGCACGCGTGGCTTCGCCCCTCTGCGCCAGTTGCGCGGCTGTGCGGTGCGCAGCAGCACCCTTTTTGGCCTTTGGGTTTGGTTTCACGGATCACCGCAGCGTCTGACATCACAAAGCGGCGTTCAACGCCCTGAGTCATGCGACCGAGCACGTCTGGCTGACGAGTGTGACGTCTGATCTCTCTGCGGAAAAAATAAAAAGCACACACACACGAGGCGTGTCAGGCCATGGCGTGTACGGCGTGTATAGACGCCGCGGCGGAGACGGCAGAGTGCGGTGAGCGAGCAACTCAGCTTCTAAGACGTAGCTACAAGATAGTTTACACAAGACTGGTCGGCTTGGAGTGTCCTCACAGTGGTCGCTCACCGACCACCCTCCACCGCGGCTCGGAAGCCATGCTGCCGGTGCACAAGAGGCGGCCAGTCGCACGAGTAGCGGGCTGCGCAGCAATGCGCACGTTGCCGGTGCAGGAGTGGTGGCATATCGGAGTGCGCTCCAAGCGCACCCTCGCTCCACAGCGGCGGCTCCTCCGGCGGCTCCTCCGGCGGTAGCTCGCCGAACACAGCAGCGGCCCGGAAGTTAGGCGCGCCCTCGGCCTCGCCGTCGGACCGCAGCGTCCTGATCCACCGCTGGTGGGATTGAAACCGCGCCAAGGAGACCTCCTCACTGCTGTCAGACCTGCCCATGCCCATCGTCGTTGTTCTTGCCACGCAAAGCTCCCTTGGGGGATCCCTTGGGATCGGAGCCGCGCTGTGAAGGAGGAGCTCGGGCCCACCGAATTTCTTTGATTGCTGCCTGGCTTCTTGGGTTTTGTCGTACGCAGAGCAACAGAGAGTCATCTGCTCACCATTCGTTCGCGTTGGTTGGGTTGTTTTGAGAGAGAGAGAGATTTTTAGCAATACCAAACAACTCTAACACTCACACGTAATTTGGGGCCTGGAGCCCTGTTCACGCGCGCGCGAGACGTGCAGACAGGGTTGCCAGGTGAGAGCGAATGGCGCGGTTCACGCCTCGCACAACAGAGAGAGAGATGCGCTTTGTTTGCTGCATGGTGGGACATAAAAGAGAGCGAGTACTTGGGCGAGTAGGCCGTGCGGTCAACGCTGCCGCGCGCGACTTTGCGCGCGAGGCGGCGCAGCTTGAGAACGGCGGTGGGCGAGAAGCCGCCGCCGAACGTCTCGTGGAGCAGCAGGTTGAAGTTGTTGCGCTTGACAAAGATCGCGTCGTGGTAGAAACCGCGATGCGCCTTGACGTAGCCGTGGCCGGTCTTGTGGTCGAAGGGTTGGCCGGGCTGCCCGCGCGCCTTGCAGCCCATGTTTAGGCGGCGGGCCTTTTCTTCGGTGTTGCCGAAGGCGTAGGAGTGGCCAACGGAGGCGGGCGTGCCGCCACTCGAGGCGTTGCCAACGCCCGGCGAGGAGGTCTTGAGGAGGGGCGTCCAGAGCTTGACTTCATTCACCTCATCGCATCCTCCCGGGCCAGCGTGGGGTTCCGCGAGGTCGACCTTGTACCCCTCGTTGTACTGCCGGGTGAGCTCTGGTTTCTCCTTGTCGCCGTGCACGACCGGCGCATTGGCCGGGGCGCGCATCGCGTCCGCCCAGGCGGCGAGGACGCCGTCGTGGGGCCGCCGGTGGTGGGCCTTGTTGTAAAGGTAGTCGCCGAAGAAATCGACTGGCATGCCCCGCTCGAGCGCGACCCGAAGGGTGGGAAGCGCCGCGGAGAGCCAAAGGCCGAGCTTTCGCTGGAGCTCGTCTTGGAGGGTGTCGGAGGAGAGGGCGGTGGCGTACGTACCGTCGACACGGACATCGAAGGCCTTGCCGGCGAAAGGCGTTGAGGCGGAGACGAAGCGCGCGGCTTCGCGGTTGTTGACGGCGCTGTCTCCGAGGGACGGGTTGTTCTTGACGTGCACATCCCGCGCCTTGACGAGCTCCTGGTGCGCGTACCAGTCCTTGTGATTCTTGATGGCAGCGAGCGCCCGCGGCCGCGGGTACGTGGATTTGCAAGTGCCATTGAGAATCGCGTCGGTAGCTGGAAGGGACTCGGGCTCGGGGAGCGGGACGCTCTTGGGGTAGAACTCAGTCAGGTAGCCGCCGCGGACGGTGTAGTACTTGTTTTTGTCGCGGGCGGCGCGCTTCTCGCACACCTCCTTCCAGTCCGAGAGGGCGGACTCGTAGGTGGCGATAGCTGCGGCGATGGCGGGGTACTTGGACGCACCTCCCTCGTCGTGGGCGAAGTCGGGGTTGTGGGCGACGAGAGGGTGCGCCAGTTCTTGAGGAGCGACATCGAGGAGCGACATGGAGAAGTCGCTGTCGGCTCGCGAGTTTGTTCACTTTGGGATCCTTCACGACTTCCTCCACTCAAAAAGCACGATTCTCAAGTTGGGCCCTCTAGGGGCGAGGACGTCAGCGAATTGGAAGGGGCCACACTGAAGCGACGCACAGGCACAAACACACAAGACACTCAGCAAGCTGGGCTGTCACCACGCGAGTTCCGCAAAAAGAAAAGAAAACCCACGGAGCCTCCTCACGCCTTCCTCACTGCCCCGACACGGTGCGATGCTCTCTTCCCTCCTCGCTTGCTCACTCGCTTTCCTCAAAATGTCGGACATCACCATCGGCATCAAGCACTACGGCTCTCGGCGAGAGCAGCTCGACCGGCTCCTCCGCTCCATCCGGCGGCGGTACGCGACGGCCGAGGTCATCGTGGCCGACGACGGCTGCAAGGCGGACCGGACAGTCGCGCGCACGCACAACGTGACGCTCGTCTGCACCGAGGCGGGCAGCGGCCTGGGCCTCGGCCGGAACGCCATCGTGCGACGCGCTCGTACAGAGTTTATGCTCCTGCTCGACGACGACATCGTATTCTCCGAGGCCACCGACCTCGCCGCGCTGCACGACGCGCTGGTGCGCGACCCAGGCGCGGCGCTCGCGGGCGGCTGCTACGACGACCTGGAAGGCGGCGACGCGGACTGCTTCAACCTCGCCTTCAGCGTGACCGGCGGCGGCACGTCAGTGGCGGCGCGCTTCGCCACGCTGCAGGCGCAGGGCGGCGGGTGCGGCGTGGTGGGCGCCACCCACAACTTTTTCCTCGCTCGGCGCTCCGCCCTCGTGCAGCACGGGTGGGACGCGCGCCAAAAGCTGATGGAACACCAGGCCTTCTTCTACGCGCTCTGGCTGCACGGCCTGCGCGTGCTCGCCTGCCCGGCGGTCCGCGTGCAGCATCCACGCAAGCGTGGTCCGCGCGCAAGGCATGCAGGCGTTCGCCAGACAGCGCAGAGGCTAGGCGACCGGGGAAGGACTAGATTAAAGAGCAACACTCCCGAACTCGGCCTTCTGCACGCCGGGCACGCCGTCCCCTTCGACCCGGGTGTCACCCTACGCCACGGCACCACCCCGCGCGGCAGCACCTCCTCCTCCGCGCGTCAGAGAGAGAGCGACTATCTGCAGTACCTCTGCCGCAACTTCCCGCGCATCGACTCCTGGGCGACGCCGTGGTGGACCGTCGACTGCGGTACCCGACCCCCGCGCCCCCCTGCCCCCATCATGCGTGTCGCGTGAGCGTCGGGGGTGCGCACACACACGAGCGACGCGCACGCGCGCCCACACACACACCGCACTGTCTCGACGCACTGCCGTGTGTGCTGGCGTGCGCGACAGGTGCGCACACCTTCAAGTCCGTCAACGACGAGAGCCCGATGCCGCTAGCTTGGGACGCCTCGGACGACACCTCGATCGTCGCCCACACGCTGCGCGACGACCTCGGCCTCTTTGTCCTCGTGCTCAGTGCGCAGGGCCGCGCTGCCGCTCGCGACACACTCCGCCAGAGCTGGATCCGCATCTTTGGCCGCGGGAGCGGCGCGGTGCACGGGATGCGCTGGGACTATGGCTTCTTCCTCGGAGGAGCGGGAGCGGCGAGCCCGGCACCGCTGATGCGCGGCGACATCGTGCGGCTGGCCTCGCCCGACGGGTACGCTCAGCTGGGCGAGAAGGTGGTGGCCGCTCTCGCGTGGAGCGTGGCCCATGTGCGCCCGTCCCACCTCGCCCGGCTGTGCGCTCTGAGTCACCTTCCCCACCCTGCCGCGCCGTATCACCTTGCGTCGCCGCGTCACAGGTCAAGAGCCGCTTCATCCTCAAGTGCGACGAGGACTCCTTCGTCCACGTCGCTAAGATCAACGAGTACCTTGCCGGGCTCGGCGCGGCGGCGGCGGCGGCGCTCTACGCGGGACAGGTGGTGGTCGCGCCGGTAAGGCGCACCGGCAAGTGGGGCGTCCCGGCGGAGGTTTTCCCGGCGGCCCAGTACCCGCCGTACGCCAAGGGCGGAGGCTACCTCCTCTCGATCGACGTGGCGCGCCAGATCGTACCTGAGATCCAAACTGGCCGCTCGCCGCTGCTGAGCAACGTCGAGGACGCGATGGTCGGCGTCGCCGCCGACAGGCTCGCCATGAGCGCGACGGGGCTCAATCATCACTTCCGTGAGCTCTCGCTGGATATTGCGGCCGTGAGGGCGGCGTCGGCTCTGCATTGCTGCTCGTCAGACACGATGCTGTACCACAAGCCAGCGCAGCTCGCCGTCTGCGATGCGTGCTGGGCGGCGGGCGGGCTGGAGCCCGACACGCAGGCCGCCGGCGCAGTTCGCCTCCTTCTCAGGCCGAGTCGTGGACGAGCCACGTCCGCCGTGTGGGCGTGGCGAGGCCGCCGCCCGGGGGCTCGGCTAGGCTTCGAGCAACCGAGAAACGATTCTGTGGGCCCAGTTCATAGGGGCAAGATGGTGTCGTAACGCACGTGTGGGTGTCTACATCAAACGGCCCTTTAAAAACAGCACAAACAGCACAAACCTACACCCGTGCCCCCA